GGCTCCTGGTTAGAGAGTGTCCATCAGCTGGCTCAAATAAAGCTTTGTTCCTTCCTGCCTTTTTGTTTTTCTTATGAATGCCTTTCTTGATGAACCCACTTGCCTATCAGAAGCACTTGCTTATGGGTGACCTTTTGCCCTGCTCTACTCAACTTGCACCCATCCCTCCCGAACCCTGTACTGCAGTCTCCAAGATAGATTTTCTACATGGTGCGGGTCAACAACCAAATATGAATCCAACTGATGGTAGGGGTTCTCCTGTCCCCCAGAAGAACAAACTCCTTTGCACCAAAATCTAGTCATTTCCACATTGTTAGGTAAGTACTTATATTGCACCCTCAACAGGCATCTTCATTACTTTTAAAAGGAAACTAGATGAACGAGTGAGTTACTCTCTTTTGGCTGGGTTGTCTGGTTACCCTCTTCTGCTGAGGACTCAATATTTCTGGCTTTCCAATACCTCAAATACCTGGTGAGGTCTCTGGGCTGCTGTGCAACAAAATCCCTCGGCTCTTATGCCATGAGCTCTCCCATGGTTTGGTAATGTCCTCCAGGCAGGCTCAACAGATGTTACAGTTGAATGAGCCAATATGATGAAGAATGGAACTGTAGCAGAGGACAGAGGAAGCAAGCAAATTTATTTAAAAGATGTGAAGGAAGGAAGTAGAACTCCCACTAGCTTGGAGAGATCTCAAGAAAGATTCCCACATATGCCCTTTGTGCAAGGGTTTTTAAGGTATTGAGAAGGGAGCTGTTATACAAGTAATAATATCTCTACCATATAGGAGACTGCATACCAATTAGGATCCTATTTATGCATTGGTCATATTACGTCTGTCCTTTGCCAAGGGGCCCGTAAGCCAATGGTTTGCTTGAGAATGCTCTGGGCATGATCTGGGGAGGTCAATGACAGCTGCAGTATACCTGGCAGATTTTTTTTGGAGCAATCCTTGAAGGCTGCTGACTCAGCTGACTCCTTTTTAAGCTTTTTGACTCCATTTTGGGCTGAGGTCCTCACTGCTTAGTAGAATCCTAACTTCCATCCCACTTATTTCTGATAGTTACTGAGAGACACATGTAGCTGCTCTATAGCATCCATTTTTCCCTTCTCACATACTAATAGAGCACATTTGTTTTGTTGATTCCATCTTCTCTTTTGTAATCAATGTACCCTGTTACAATAGTTTCATGTAGTCAGTATTTTTTGATTGTTTTATATATGTACTACTTTCTTGGATCTTCATTTTCTTTTGATTTCAGAAATTCTGTTTGAGATCTCTATATTCCTTCCTAAGGTAATAATTGGGCATTCTTATTAACCCAAAGCACAGCTACTTAGTAAATGTTCATAGGTGTCTCACAAGGAGAACTGGGATACCACTTTCAGTTATCCTTATACTAGAGTTATAAGGTTCCTAACACTCGTACATACCTTCCTCAACAACTGCTGGGTATAGGGTGTAAACTTATATCAGATCAAGGGTATGAATTGGGAAATATTACTGGGACTACCTCTCAACCTCCTGGAAAGCATCTTTGATTCCATTTGCTTCTTTTCTCTTCATTTCTTTTGATATCAGTCTTCTGAACTGTCCTTGGCCAGGGTCTACAGGCTGTGAGTCCAACAGTGCAGCTCATTACTCTAACTCTATCTGCTAGGAAACTAATAATTATTTAGCAAGACCTGGCTTCCCTACGACAGGCTCTCTCACCTCCCATCAGGAGGTCTAGCTTTGAAAAGTCACCTTGTCCCCTCTGCCCTGGAGACCATAGAGAGACAAACAATGGAATCACAATGATGTCAGGATCTGTCACATCAGCGCGTATGCTTCATGTGTGGTAATTATGTTTCTAACAACTTAAATCAGTAATTCAAAGACAGGAATTAGAGGCTCTACTCATTGAGAGTCCCAAATTCAAAGAAAATATATACTTCCATTTTGAAGCAATATAGGAAATGAGAAGGCCAAAAAGGAAACAAGGTTAAGATGCAATTTTTTTATTTTATGAAAAAAAAACCCAAACTTCCAAAACAAAATAATAGCAGAATAACAATAGTTAATACATTTTATATTGCTGTCTTCAAAGTAGTTACTCAGAATACAAGACGTAGGTTTAAAAAGTTCTCCAAATGATATGAGCACAAATCTTTATATGTCAATGAACTAAGAGAAGCTAGCAGTATAACTATTTTGTGTTTTTATTCCTTTTGTCTTCCTTCCCTTTTCTCCTATCTTAATTTTTCTTTCCTTTTGAACAATTTCTTGCCAATTTCTTAGATCTCTCATTGAGCTGGCAGGCATCATTTCTAGAAAGAATGAGAAATGTCATCCTCTACTAGCCAATTCCACTTTCACTGTTGTCATTACTAGTATCATAATTCAAATTTTCTACTGCATTTCAAAATTTTGTAATACAAGATTTTTTAAGAAATTCAAACAACAGAGCATGTAATGAAAGTTATGTGTCCCTTTCACTGATGATTCCTACACTTTCTCCCCCAAAAGACCCAAGGATGCCAGTACCTCATTAAACTTTTAAAATGTAATTTACTTATAAATATGTATTTTAACAAATAATAATGTCATGTATAATATTGATGCAATTATTTATATGCTTTGTGATTTTTTTGTTTGTTTGTTTGTTTGTTTTGTTTTTGGTTTTTCTCCGGTACCGGGAACCAAACTCACGACCTTGCGCTTGCCAGGCAGGCGCTTTTGCCGCTGAGCTAAATCCCCAGCCCCTGCTTTGTGATATTTTACTTCATTTTTTATTTTAAATATACAATTTTCTCACAATCATTCTATATTTAGTGAAATAGAAATCCATTCTCATTTCATTTCCTACATTCCAACATTAGCAAATAATAAACTTATATTATCAATTTATTCCGATGATATTGAAGTAATTTCCAAGTTTTGCAATTGAAAGCCATATCTCCATGGACTTCTTCATATATATGTTGTTGCAAGCGTGTGTTGCCTAAAAGCAAATATTATCTGTCGACAGGTGACAAGCCTTTGTTCTAACATGGTCTCGACACAGATACACTACAATAAGCAACTGTTTTACTTAAAATTTTGCTGAATGAAAGTGAAAAACATGTGCCCCAGAACAGGTCAACACTTACATCCATAATCTATAAGTTTCTTAAAAGAAGAGCAAAGTTTACTTGAAAAGATGGCCAATGGATTTAACAACATTACCAAGAACTTTACCAGGGGCACTCAGTACTGCAGTTATCCCTTCACCTACGCTATTCAAGGCTTGTGTAATATACGGGTCATCATCGCTTTCTGAAGCTTCAACAACACTCTGCAAATGCTTTAGCTCTTCACTGATTGCCTCAGCTTTCATGTTGAATCCTTCTTCAAGCAAATCCATTTTGATCTAAAATAAATGAATAAAAGTTGAGAGGAAAGTATATCTTTATAGTACTGCTATTTTAAGAGTAACATTTTATTTAAAAATATTGTCCAACCGAATTTGTATTACATGAACAAATGTTTTTGCAATTATCAACAAATAACTAAGCGACAAATAATATTATCCGAATTGGACCAGACATTGTGGGAAGGAAGCATAGTTGAGTTTTCTTAATATTCATTGAATATTAAACTTTGCTGAAGTATGACAACAAAATGTGTTATTTCCAGATGAACAAAGAATCTACATTACATGTTCAAGTGTTTTTGCAATTAACACAAAATATCTAAGCAATAAATAATACACTCTGAAATCGATCAGATATTGTGAGAAGGAAGCATAGTTTAGTTTTATTAATGTTCATTCAACACTTGGTCCTGCTGTGCTGAAGTGTGAGAACAAGTTGTGTTTTTGCCAAAAGCTTTTCTTAGTCCCTATTAAGTAGCTTGATAATAATATGAAGATGGTGGAACTTGTTAGCTGGTCTAGAAATTTATTATATAACTTTCGCATGGACAAGGACAGAATTCCTCTGATGTGTAAGCTAACAACCTGCAGGCTATTCACATGGGGTATTGTGGTTGACATAAAATATCCCCCAAAATACTCACGTGTGTGGAAGGAGATTGTTCTATTGGAGTGCTGCACGCAGCAGCAAATTCATCTATTCTGTTCAGTAGCTGAATTTGCTATGAAGGAGGCACGGCCTGCCCAGAGGTGGGTCACAGTTCTTCCTCTTACTAACTGCACATGCTGAGCACTTTTGCCTTCACACCTCTGTGCCATGCTGTTTCTGCCTTGGATCTAGCCAACGATGGACTGAAACCACCAGTCAAAATAAAGCTTTTCTCTTATAAGTTGTGGGTACTGGGTTTTTGTCTCAGAGATGGGAAAGTGAATAGGACATCTGGAAATAACTAGTAAGTTTATTGACAGAAGCTGTCAATACATTGTGCTTTTAAGTGTGAACATTTCTGATAGCTTTATGGCAACACATATCTACCCCTCTGGATCTTTGGGAATTTGAAAGATACTACAGCTCCTAACATTATTGGTCTCATTAATGTTTACAATAAAATTGCTACTGAGGTTGTTTAAAGATTGTTGGAAAATGTAGTTAATCAAGGCCTTATGAGATCATTTTATAAAATCCCAAATTAGCAACATTAAAGCTATTCATATACTCCAAGGAATTAATCAAAGAATCTATAGAAGCCAAGATGGTCTGAATTCTCTAGATTCTTCATATGGAGCAAAATTCAAAGTAGTCATGTTTAACACAAAAACAACCGGAGATCCAGAGCTTTATCAAATTACAGACACCAAATGATCATGGTCCCTCCTTCCATGATCTGGATGTCACCTTTACCATCCTGCAAGGGTACCAGAGACATCAGGCACTACTGAGCTGAGGTATATGCACCTTATGCAGTTTCTCCAACATCATTTTCTGCTCTCTGAGGCGGTTTTCACTCTCCAACAGTAACTTCTTTTCCAGGTGCTCCATATTTTCTTTGAGGGTCCTCTGTAGAGCTGCTTTCAGTTGCTGTTCCACCTGTTCTTTCTCTGTTGAAATTTCCTGTGCCCTTTCAGCTGCCTCCTTCTTGGCCTTCTCCTCTTTGTCAGGGAAATTTCAAAATGGAAAAAAAAAAAAAAAAAAAACAAGTGAAAACTAATTCTGTTTTCCTAAGCTCGGAGACCAAAGCAAATCTGAAAGGTAGCACAGTAACGTCACAGAATTCACACAGGTCCATGCTGTCCAGAACATGTTTCAGAACATTATGGAAATATGCTGCCGCTGTAGATGACATAAAACTATAGCTCCCTTCTATTTTTCACATACATCCACATGCACCTTAAGAAATATGTTACACATGCGCCCAGGCAGCGAGTTCTCCGGGAGCTGCAGCGCTCCTGGGTCCGAG